GGGCAGTATTGATCTTTTTCATACAGACATATTATCTTAAGATAATTGAAAGGGGCAGGGTGTGGGGGGGTATGGTCCGTGGCGAGTTGAGTTACTTTCTCCCAYTCTTGCACTTTCCATCGCCACCAAACTTCATTTATATTTCGTGTCTTTTTACTTTTTTCCTCTGTAGATGTTTTGGCCTTCGAMAAATAACTTTGGGTCTTGGTCAAAAAAGAGGTCGGGGGATTTAGGTTTTATCGGCTCAAGAGAAGAATGAGACTGACGGCGGATTGATCTGTTTTTTTCCATGAGACTACCATGTTTCCTTCAGCAATGTGCATCAAACGTGCGTCACGTTCAGAAAAAAAGGGGTGTATACTACTTATCGTATTTTTTTCTGTTTCTTTGGCTTGTCAACACAATTTAAAATCTGTTGTATAGTTTGAACGCTCTACTTTTGACACAACTTGAAACAAAGTCTCAGAAAAGGCGTATCTTTCCAGCTAGAGGGATTTAAATAGGTCATGAGACCAAGCTCCAAAAGGTTAATATACTGACATAATTTTTAAATACAGTCACCATATTTCAGTACCCAGGTATACCACAATACCGTCATACCACCCAAGCCTAACCAGATCAAAAAAGCTGAAGGGAACACATTGCATCAGTGCATCATACGCACCACATCCCAGCAAAATCTTGTGCAACACAACCACAGATCTGGGAAGATGTGCTGACAAAGCGGTAGTAATTACTGCATGTCTTATCCTTTAAGGTTAGATGACGAACAACAATAGGTTGAAGGGAAAAATAATAATCGTGTGTGTCATGAGCGGTAGGGGGAGGGTGGTATCATGACTTACATACATATGTCGAGCCATCTGTGGGGACAAATGTCACGTTACATAAGATATTAATCTTACATGTGAGGTGGGTTGTCTCTTTAAAACAAACATGGCTATCTACGACAGGAAACCACAGGTACAAGCCTGTTTGTTGTGTGCGTGAATGCTCAACCACACGTACCTGCAAGCTTGTGCTTTGGTCAGAGAAGGGGGAGCTGAAGAAACATGTGACAATGCTCATGACGGTCTCGGTTACGTAACGCTCCAGCACGGTATCTGCATGCTTCCTGTCACTGGTGTTGTTGCACACCTAAGAAAGGACAGAGACGACAATTGCATGAGGCTAAGCCCCTTCATAGCACTTCTTGGATGTAGACGGGTACAGCCTACAAAAAGTATTAATGCCCCCCTTGGATGTTTTATGCTTTTATTGCTGTCATAAATTCACCATAATCAATACAAACTGGCCATCTTTACAAAATAAAGTACAAAAAACTATTCAATGTTAAAATAAAATCAATTTTTTACAAAGTAATCCTAAACAAATAAAAATATTGAATGTAAAATAAGCAATGACATAAATATTTATCCCATTAAAATTGATTGTCCTAATTTAACTCTGATAAATTATTATTGAAGAGAACAAGTCAGGATATCACATAAAGAACAGTTAGAATTTTCTATCTACTGATCTCAGCATATATTTTATGCCTAAAATAGGAATGCATATTACTTACTAGCTTTCCTACCAGAGTTTTAACATGTTATGTTGAAAAATAATGGAGGTATTTTGGTAAAATCTTAAAAGCAACTTTATTCAAAGGTTATGTGATGAAAAGTAGTGCTGGGAATAGATTAAATTTTTTTATCGCAATTAATCTCAAGATATTTTTGCGATTAATCTGACTTTATTTTTATTTATTTATTTATTTATTTTTACAAACAATCACTTTACTATGGCTGAATATGTAGGTTTGTATATTGCAATACAC